GACTTCCTGGCAAGATTTCCTTGTAAACAGCTAGCAGAGTAAAAAGGGAATCCCAGATGACTGCTCTGCCCCTTTTCATACTGCAAAGACACAAGTAAGATGGAACAAAGGGGTATACAAACATGTGCCTGATTTTAGAAAAATATTTACAATGTTTATACTAGAAATACTTAAGACAGATATGGATATTTATCCTTGAGATAGCTAAGATTTAAAAAGTGATAATAAAAAAAGCCCTAAATAAACCTAAACCATTCAACATCCATTAAGGTAAAATAAAGTAAATAAATTCAGCCAATTGGTTATTTCCATATGGTTGGATTTCTTTAAATGGTAATGAAATCATTGCTAAAAAATCCATTGTTATTAAAATAAAAAAGTTGGCTCAGCCTACCAAAATTAGATTTGTAAGTTGCTGGTCATTCCCATAATTAAATCTGTGTCACAAATTTGCAAGAAAAATGGACACTATGACTAATGCATTTACTTGCAGCACTAGTGCTGTCAGGCTGTGTAAATCATTATGCTTGCTAAAGCAGACTAGATAAGAATTCCATACATTTTCATTAACCGACTAAGCTTTGTGTATATGTGAGAAGCTAACTTTATTCTCTGCTAGCTTAAGCTTGCATTTGGAAGACACTGTAAATAAAAATACTAACCATGTGGTGGCTCCAAAAATTATTTGAGCTTTTTGAACGACATGAACCAGCTCTGTCTCCTCTGAGATATGGTCAGATAATAGAAAAATCCCACATATACTTAGTTTGGACAAAGGAGATTAATGGAATGATGGGCACCTGAAATGTGTCTCATTTCATCTATTATGTTTCAACAGAGAAAGAAAAGCTAATCCAAGACAGCACTGGAGTAAGTCTTAAATAATGCTTTAAGGAGTTCTCAGGAGTCCAGTGGTCACTAGAGCAGAGTGCCCAGAATCCTCTCTTTTCCTCTTGATTTCCTGTCACCACAGGCCTTCAGACCCTCAGTTGCAGTTCTGTGTTTAAGGAGAAGCTGATGGCTGTTCCTTTCACACTAATTGTTCATAACCCCAAGGTACTGAAGAACCAGCCTTCACTAACTCACACCACAGGCTGGATATTCTTACAGGATTCCCAGACCTCAGTCTTGAGCAGAAAGGAGATTAATGAGATAGAAAGATTAGACACGACTGGTCTAGTCCAGCAGTGCAGAGCATTTTGTGAGGACATACTGTTCTGGAAGCCCATGTCCCCTGCACAAGGCATCCCATTGTCACTGCAAACTGAGTGCAGCTCTCAACCAAGCACATCTCCAGTGCAGGAGCAGCCTCAGTGATAGGTGGACGAAGTCAAAGGAGCTGAACCACTCGGGCAAACGCCAAGGAACAGCCATCAGCACAGCACAATTTCCACTCTCCTGCCTATTGCTCTGTGATTTGTACATTCGCAAGTATTTGTCTTCATTTAGAAGCAGAATAGAAATGCTTAGGAGGCATGGCAATGCATACAACGTTAAGAATTCCAGTAGACCTACACTTCATATTCCAGGCAATTTCTTCAGTCTTTAGATACAAAAGTATCCTCTCCTCCAAGTGGAAGCAGCTAACACAGTGCTTTCTATCTTAGCATGTGCATGCAACCTTGGGATAACCAACCACTCTGTATGAGTAAAACACTACCAGATTATATTAAAACCCCATTAAGAGGAAAATATGAAATCACTTCTTATGTTCTACAATTATTGTAAACCAAACTGCTTAAATGAGGGGAGGAGATAATGATATTAACTACTCAGCTCAGAGCAATCCTCTGTGGTATGAGTCTAAATATTGTGTTGGCTGAAATTTATGTAAATTGAATTCATCTATCGTTAGTTATTACTAATCTAGCTATATAAAAGCACTTTTCTGTAACAATTAGTTTTTTCAAACACTGGGTTTTAATTAGACCTGAGCCATTATTAAACTAAGTCAATAAAATAATGTAAATATGTAGAGTACTATTCCATGTACTGTTTTGTCTGTATATTTATAGGAATATGGACTTTGGTGAACTTAAAAAATAATTAGTTTGTGGTTGGCTGGCAGTTTTTGTAAATCTCTTTACCAGTGGAAACACCCTGAGGTCCTTAATCTAAGTGTATTTCTGCTCATCTGGACATATTTGGCATTTCTACATCTTGTATATCACAAGATGTTCCATTTCATCTGAATAAGCTGATCTCAGTATTTTTTCCTAACATTATACCGAGTATTTTCCTGCAAACATTTTGCTCCACAACTTACTTTAATTTTACTTCTCAATCACTATTTCCTGGTCTTAAGGGGAAAAAAAAAAAAAGATGGTGGGGGCAGGAGAGTAATCAGCACAGCACATCTTTCAGCCTTTTAAAATCAGCCTGTTTGACACTATCACACACAGGCACTGGCCCACAGGGCATAGTCTGAAAAGGGAAAACACTGTCCTGGTTTGTCACAGTGCCACAACCTGCCTACATGCTACACATGGTAAGACAAGGAGCACAGGAAAACCTTCAGCCTTGCTGAGATCAGACCCTTCCAAATAATGTCCATAAAGTTTTGGTCACAAAGGTCTGTAACACCATCTAAGCCTGTCCACATACAACTCACCATTAGACACGCCAAAGAAAAATGCAGATGTGATAGAGATTTATCATTAATTGAAGATACAGGACATAGGTTCTCCACCCATAGCCAAATCCGTAAATTAGGCACCAATATAAACTGATGGATTCCCAAAACCACTTCCACTAGGACCTTCCATTATGTTCTCAGAAACAAGCCAATTATTTTTAGATTTTATAGAATGGTTTTGACTTCATAGATATATATACACACACATACACACACAAACACATATGTATTTAATGCTTTGCCAGTTTTTCAACAGCAGACTTTCTTTGTAGGTGACCACATGCTTGTCAGTACTCCATATCTGGAGCAGCTCAATTCAAGGTCATGTAGACCCACACCACTGTGAAACTACTGGCGAACAGCTCTGTCTACTTACTACTGTCCCTGGCCTACTATCACATTTCAACCACAAGGTTTATCCTATCAACTCCATAACTGGAAAAATTTTTAAGAACAAAGCACTCAGTAAACATATTTGTGATTTGCTTTGTCTCATACACATGTATTCCCTACATAATCATGATTTCAAAGTAGAATTACTATAACAAGTGTTTAAATGTATGGAATATATTTGGAATTTAATAATAATCAGTGTCTTTACCATGCTATTCTAAAAAAAAAAAAAAATTAATAATTAGAAAAAATCAGCTGGTACTATGGTTTCATTCTAGCTGATCTTTAATATTTTTGAAAAGTCTTTTCTGGGAACTTTGTAAGAATAATGTTTACTGCAATGCTGCTCCAACATTTACAAAAATACCTGAAGGGAACAAAAAGTGAAATGAGGAATTACATTTAAGCAGAACTTTCCAATTATCATGAACTAAGACCAAAACCAAAATCAGGAGTATTACATGCAAACAAAACCTAACTAAGCTTCTTGAGCCCAGATTTCTTCAAAGAGCTGCAAACAGCTACTAGAAATTGAAAATATGTCTCTGTTGATTAATTAGGAGCCAGCATTGTAGTCATATGCAGGGGAGCTTAAATTCTTATTTGAAGCCAAAAAGTATCTCCAAATGGCAGCTGAACTGAGCCTTTGGGTATTCACAGAAACCTCTTGAACTGAAAGCTGGAGACAGCAGGGAAACCAGGAGCTCATGCCAAACAACAAGAGAAAACATCATGCACATACACACACAGACTTAAAGAGCTTTTCCAACACTTCCACAGTTTGAGGCAGCCCCATGGAAGGAGCAGAATACAGGTAACAAAAAGGACAACTACTTGCGAAGTCATATTTTAAATATGTGAGACATCATCCATACCCCAAAAAACCACCTTCCTAACTTCAGCCTAGCCCTCAAAAATGCAGCAGCACAACACAACTTCAAAATGACATGCAACTTTATTTCTCTCCATATACTTAAGCTTCTAAAAGCCAGTTTTTCATAAAAAAAATTAATAAAAAGTGATTTATTTTGTACTCACAAAATAAGTTATTTTGTACTCACACAGTTTTGATTTCAATTTCGTAATTTGAATTCTTTTATCATTCATTATGGACATCACAGTATAAAATTGGGACACAAGACTGGCGTCACAAACACATACCTCTAAGCATGCATAAATTTTAGTAAGAACAAATCCAATTATTAGCTGCCTAAATAAACAATCAGTCATAGTAGTTTGCCAACACATATTTTTTTTCTTAACATTCATTAATATCTCTCTAAAAAACACATCAGTAAAAGAAATCTATACTTCCTTTCTTCATAAATATATTTAGTGTTCTTTACCCTGACCTTTCCAAATATTTGTAGACCATCAGGACTACAAATACTGCTTTTGATTTTTAAAGAAACAGTTATATTTCCAGCTGGATGGATTGCTTTCCCATATCTAGCTATTTAAGTGTGTTCCTCAGAGACATCGAGTGGCTTCACTGACAGTAAAATATGCTAAACAAATGACAAGTCACTGAGTAAATTAGCATCTACTGTCTGATCAGCTGGGTCATGTTTTCTTTTCAAAATCCATGGCCTCTTGATAGAAAATAATGAGTATTTGATGGGCCTTATTAGAAAAATCAATATATTGATGCTCATGTCTGAAACATCTGCATAATAATAGATTCTGTTAACCCACTAAGGAGAAAATTAAGATGTGTTTACACATTATTAATTTACTATGAGCAAAGACAATTTATTCACTACCTTTCTCAAGAGTTTAACAAAAAGAAAAGAAATTGCAATATCCATATTTAAGGGCATATTATGGTGACATAAACTGAAAGGTGATTCAGATTTTTTCTGTCTGAATGGCAAAATTCCACCAACAATGATGTGAAAAAATACAAACACACCAATGATACTGTTAAAAATAAGACTACTAAAGCACTTGCTATAAATACTGTGTTACTTACCAAAAAACTTCCAAAAGCAGAATTAAATATAGCAGCTGCCTAGAGAGAAAAAAAAAGGATAAATATCACCAATGGTACAATAGCTACAGTGCAAGAGCAAAATGTCCTTCCCCCCACCCACCAAGCTATTAGATTCTCCAAATACACACATACACAGAGACCATTAGTTAGCCACTGCTTAAAAAATTGTCAGTCCCCTGTAACTTATGAAGACTGATACATTCTCATTTATGCATTCATAAATAATGTACTGAAATGGACAAAAGCAGGAAGAGAAGAAAATTTTTGCCAACAGACTGAAGAAGAATATCCACAAGAACTAAGAATATTACACAGAAGCTTGGTCTCACTACTTGTGCTTTAATTTGCCAGTAACATTTTCATATACTGCCCTATTAATTAAAATAAACATAAATAAACATTACCTGATTTAACTAAAATACTGCCTTTTCATATAATTTTAAAAATTTTAATGAAATATTAAGCTGGTAAATAAGCTACTTTAATAGTCCACCATAATAAAGTATTGGCTGAGAGAATTTCCTGTAACTTGACAAATAAATTTAAAATAGGAATAACAAAAAACCCAACCAAAAAAAACCAAAATCCCACAATGACCCCATACCTCTGAGGCCAAAATATCATTACTGTTCACTCCATAGTCTTTCAAAATAAGAAAATAAACGTTTTTGATAATGACTTAAGAAGTGTTTGTGCTTACCTAAATATCCAGGAGATATAAGATAGCAATATTATTTCTTAATATTAACTCATTAAATTCCAGGAAGTTAAAACTTGAGTCTTGCATAGCTTTCCCCAATTACCAAGAAAGAACAGAAACTCTTGTATGGCAGCCAGTCTGATGATGAAAAGCCACACAGCAAAGGTAAGAGGAAAGGGAGGAGGGAAATCTACCATTTACGTGCCGATCTAGAGTCAAATTAATAACCCTGGACACTTCCAGCCACAGATTAATAACAAGAGGCTGTTAGTGAGTTGAGCAAGTTTGAATAAAGTCCAAAATCAGGGTAGGAGCAGTAGCTGAACCTGCCTTCTGCTCCATAAGAGGATGCAATGAAAATGAATGGGTAATGAGATCCTTGGCTCTAGAGAGCTTAGCTTTCTTATTCAAGTTCATAATTAATTCAAAGCTTTGATAATTTCATTAGATTCCTCCTCTGATGGCCCTATCAATAAAAGATGGCACTGGACTACAGCTCCTCAGTGGCCCAAATACAAAAACAAATGCAAACTGGGAAACCTTTGCTGACTTGCTCACTAACAGGGACAATGGCATATGGCACTCCATGTAGTGGAGGGAGCATCTGAATAGATACAGCTAAATAAAACATTGTAGTTGACAGTTGTAAACTACAGTAACATATTTTAACACCTCTTTCTCATCAGCAATTCTTTTTTGAACATTAAAAAAAAAAAAAGGAGGCACAAGTCCAAACAGCTTCTCTTGCCAGAGATCATAGCTGAAAAGAAGCGTGAGTAGTATAAACAATACTTCAACAAGTGTGAATTAAATCAGGATTTTCTATTTGTATTTGAAGCTGTGCAACTGACACTTTCATGTAGCAAGACAAAGACACACTATACTCATTCACACAAACCTAGAACATGGCTACCAATCCTTATTTGGGGATCATCTAGAGATATCACATTATTTACTTAAAACAGGCTGCAATTCCACTTCCAGGAGAAATTCTGCATCTGGAAAGGTGTAAAGGAGATATACTAGATGGTGGTATTTTTCCCATTATCAAACTTCTTTTATTCCTTCCTGATCCATCAGGAAGATATTTGTATTTTTTAAATAATCTCAAGCATGTAACAGGGACTAAGACAACAACCCTGGGCAAATTTTATGCTTCAGTTGTTTAGCCAGTCATGTGCAAAACTCGGAATTCACAACCAGTTCTGGAGTACCCTAGTTTACAATTTTTAACTCCCTTTCTCTGAAGTGTCAGAAATTATCCAGAGAAGATGATGAAACATTCATTACAGGCAAAAGAAGAGGGAAAAAAAAAAAAGCCAGGAAGACTGCATATTAAGATACAATCATCCAGATTATCTGCCTCAGTGAGGGAGGATTTACATATGTTAGTTACTCTATCTGCAGTTTTTTTGGAAACATTTCCCCTGGAAAACAAATTTAGAAGTAATTTTTCTCATACTCGCAAACCTGGGGCTTATATTTGTGATTCTGGTTCAGTTTAAACAAACTAGTAGTAAACTGAATTAACTGCTCCAATTTGTAATTAAACATACCTAGTAGCATAACCCTGTAGAGTTTAAACACTTTTGTGCTTCCAACTCCCTTCTATCAAAGGGATACACACCTCACAGGGCATTGTCAAAATTAATTCATTCCTTAAAAAGCACTCTGAAATCCTTAGAGGAATGATACAAATAAACATTAGTGCTGACACATGGTACAGCCAGGCTCTTCATTTTCTATTTGAAACATTTATTAGTCACTATTATTGCATCACTTTTTTTAGTGTTCGCTCTTTTTGTGCTTCAACAGATATCAGACTGTTTGCAGCCAGCTTAAATGAAACAATAAAACACAAGAACATTTGGATGTCTTTATAATACTCCAAGTTCAGATTTGCATGTGTTTGCAAAACATTTATTGCATTTACCATGAGTATGAGGGGAGAGGCCTCTATAAAGTCCATGGTGAGGTCCTTTCAAAAGGTACGTGCACAGCTGTGTATTGAAATGTAAGGTCAGACCACATTCAAAAGCAGCAGAATCAACAAATACACAAATTTTCTACGTTTGCATCAAGAGGCCTGACTGAAAGTCACTGCCAGGACTCTTAACAGGGCAAGTGCAAGAGCATGGACAGCATCACTTGAGTTAACAATTGTACATATTAGCTCCATTAAACAACAAATTCACTTCTTATCGGGCAGGTACAATTTCAGTCAACTCTGCATGGCACTGGCCTTGAGGGAATGCTGGGAGTCTACATTTCCAAGAAGAATTCCAAATGACAAGTGGCCAGGCCATCTCAGAAGGACACCAGTCTGGCAGCACTTGGCAGAAAGTTTCTTCTTCTCATACCAGAATCTAGCACAAAGCTTCAACCCTTCATCTCTCACCTTTTCCTGGAATATATGTATGGAGAACACTGCTTAGATTTCTACACTGGCAGCAACGAGACCTAAGACAGTCCTCCTGGCAACAAAGGCTGGTAAAAGATGGAAGAAAAAGGCAAAGCCACTACCATTCACCCCCAGGTGTGGATCCAAATACAGCACCCAGTACATATAGCACTAAAGTACATGTGACTGGGCAGCAAATCAAACAAGTGTGTTGAGAATTCAAGTATTAAATATAGAACACATTGTGAACTTTGTTCCATTGCCTTGTTTTTGGTACCAAGCTAAACTATCTTGGAATTTATTAGACCAGATATCGTATTGATAATAAAGTAGCCAGACTACATTAAACAACAGGAAAAGACACCCTGGCTACATTTGGAACACCTGGGTCGAACAGCAACATTTTATCATTATCAGCAATATTTCAAAGAAATTGCTACGCACAGCTGACCCAAAACTTTACTGCAGAGCACAGGGAAAGCGCAGTGCCTCACAGCTTTGTACATGGATCTCAGAGAAAAAAGCAAGAGATTTTCTCACCAATATGTGTCTAGTGCTTCAATACCAAAACATTTGATTCTCGAGTGCCATTTGGCAGCCTATAGGGAGACAACCTTCCAAGGGGTATTTAAGCCTACACTTACCCCCAGGCACCCCACAGGTGGGAGAGCACATGCTATGGACACCAGGGCCTGGCTGGCCCCAAGTCATCCCTGCTCTGAGGAAAGGACATTCCAGGGTCAAGGCCACAGATGCAGAGTAATGAAACCAAACAGCACCAGAACATCTGGAAGGAAGCAGCCTGGGCATCGTATAGAGTGTTCTGTGTCTGTCTTCAATTTCCTGCAGTTAAACTCTGAGCACTAGAGGGATGTACCACACACTAGTAGGATATACAGCTCAAGCATCAGCAACAAGACTAATTATCCTATTTAACACAGAAGGCACAGCAAAGAAGAAAGAAAAACCCAGAAGAGCAGAAAATAACTGGGGAGAGACAAGGACTCTCACAATTCTAGAGCATGATTATGCAGTAGAATACAGAGAACACAATATGGTAGTGTAACATTTTACAGCATCTATACTATTATTACAAAAGTTAATACAACCATGTCTCCTATTTCACAAAAGAAGAAAGGAAAAAAAGCAACAACAACAAAAAAAAAAAAAAAAAAAAAAAAAGAGAGAGAAAAACTGAAGAAAGTGATGGAAATTATTTGACCAAACAGGACAGAAAAGGAAATTTTATCTACCCGAAAAGATCAGTGTAGCTCAAAACAGTGGAAGAAGACAGGATGTTAGAAGTAACTTGAATAAGTTGGTAGAGTCCCTTTAAACAACTCCTTCCATCTCCTATTTAAAAATAAAATCTCATGTAAGCGTTACCACAGCTCATGTCTTAACTGCTGTTTCCAATAACAAGATGTTACATCTCTGTAGAAAGCTATTTGCCACAGCACTGTTACTGCAAACAGAATATAAATATACCTAATAAGGTTTAATCTGTGTGGCTGTTCATAACTATTCATCTGAGTACAGACAGGAAAAAAAAAAAATATATTCAAGTTCCTGGTTTTGAGCACTAAATTGAATCAGGTGTCCTCTTCTCTTAAGAAAATTAAGTTGCTTTTGTGCAAGAGTGTTTTAATGAGAACAGAGCCTGCCGACATTGATAAATGGGAACGACACCAGAGAGAGCATGTAAGCAGGACAATATGTGCATGTTACAGTCTTACAGGCTATTTTTCACTGACTATCCTGAATGACTTCGCTGTTTCTTAAGGGGCCTATTAATCTCAAATTTAGTTATTACACAACGTTTATTTGAACATATATTCTGTGGATGATGACAGTTAATAAAGGAAATCTTTTACAAGCTGTATTTTTACATATTGTTCCAACTGCAGCTCCCAGTCC